TCCAAAATGTTAAACAACGGAAAATATGTGTTAAACACAGGTAAGGTTTTACTTTACTGGACACATCTGGACCCATGGCCTGACACGAACACAAAAATCTTATCAGATAAATAATCATGGAAATGATATTCGCTTTGAAAAAATATATAGAAAAAGGAAGAAAACAAAAGCAAAAAGAAATTCAAAAAAGAAAATGGTAAGAACTGAGTGACCCACCTGAGCAGCCCGGTGTGTATCCAGTCGGAGAGCTCGTACCTGGCGGACAGGGAGCCTCTGACCCTGATTGCGGAGTAGAAGTTTTTAAATTAGATTTATTATTTGATGTTACAAAAATGCTTCGTTATACAACTTTCATGAATGGAAATGAGATGAGATATTAATTTTAAAAAATGACATGCTGCTTTGATATGCTAATCGGCCTGGCCGAACACTATGCTTCTATGGTATAGGCATACTCGAATTTTATATGACTGTTTAAAAAAAGAGAATGATTTATAACCTGCGCAGTAAGCAATAGGGCATCCGGTAGTTCTTGGCAGTTGATACACTCGATATAATCCACAGTTCTTCACTTTGATGTTGAAAGGAGACGAACAACTTACGCCAAAATTTGTGACACATGCTTGCCGCGTCACCTCACCGTCGGCTACCGATGGAATATTTCCTTAAAATATAGAAAAGTGAAGCTAGCCATTGTTTGTTTTTGTCTGTATAAAATTATTTTTATATCAGCAGTTCAGAAAACATAATTTGACAATATTTCTTTATCCTTACTTAAATTTACTTATCTGCATGTAAGACTTATCGTGATACAAAAGAAAGTCTACTCACAATAATATGTGTGACTAACAAAACGAACCCGATCTATCAGGTATAAAACTGCACATGTCTGCATACCGTTCAACCAAACTGGAAATAAGGTAGAACATTTGAGGAGCCCCGGGTTTGCTGTTGGCATATCTCCACCGGCGGGACTGGTAAAGCGGTACCATATCGGAGGGCTGGAGAGGAGACTGTCACAAAGCATGGTATCCCCACTGGTCGGTGAAATGGCGGTGCTGCGCCTCGGGTCGTTAACTTCTCGATGCTGGCCTTGCGTGCATGGATCTACACACAAAAAAAAGTTAGTCACGTATTGCCAATATATTGTTTCTGAGGGAAGAGGGCGATATTGTCCTTCAGATAGCTGACGGAAATGGTGTTTTATCCAACGTACTGCTATGAAGAAGACGAGTGCCAAAAACGACAGGTATATTTTCCAATGCCGTGGCTACAAATTTTTGATCCGTGTAATTTTGAAATTGGCAAAACGGTGGTCGCACATATCGCAGCCCCCTGTTAGCAAAATAACTACCCAAAGATGATTCTATGCTTCAGATATTTACTACAGGATTGCCAGGAAGTAACCTAGGTAAACCGGCGAAAAAACTGACATGGTCTGCAAAAACCCTTGTATGGCGCCGTTTTACCATTTAACGTTTTCCGATGAGTCTTCACATTCAACTTAAACATCACGGCTGGACAAGTAAGGGTATGTATGGAAAACATCTACCACTGCCTATCTGTCAGAGAACATTTCTCAAAAGGCGGCCGCTTCAGTGGTTTGAAAGTGCATCAAATACCGCGGTATTAATGAACTGGTCAATGAAAACTTTAACAAGTACTCATTGGAATCTTAAACCGACACTTTATGACACCAGTAGAAAACAGTTTTGGGACAGGAATCATCCGTGTTTTTCCAGGATGATAATGCTACACCACACAGTGCCTGGGCTAACTAAGAGAGGCCTCAGCAGCAAGGCGTCAATAAGGTGTGTCTTCCGGTGTGAAAGGAACGGATGTCTGCCGTAGTGCATGTCCTTGGGACATTGCTAGGAATGAGTGTCCTATGAACAAATTGTCCTGGGAATGGATGCCCTAGGTCCTTTTTTCCAAGTAACGCATGTCCCAGGACATAAATTCCTGGGAATTTAAGTCCTGTGGACACTCATGAGTTTGTATTCTAAGTTCCGAAAACCGGAAAAGAAGTCCTTGCCGGGCACATGTTCCCAACTAGACTAGAAATAGATGTCCCCCTGACATTGTTTTTGTATTGCAAATGTAATAGTTTTAGATGTTAAACATGATTATGGTATTCATAACTATACTTGCATATCCCTATACACTTTATTCGGTTAACTTTGTATATTTCAAATAAATGAAAAAAAAAAGAAAACAAAATTATGCTTTCATTTTATTTCAGATATCTCTGTAAATAGTCTAAGATTTGCGTCATCCACTGCGCCTGTAAAGCTGTGAAGCCTCTCGGTTCCTGGCGGATAATCATTACTTTCACACCGGCGCAATCGAAATGAAAACCCCCACAAATTCAATTGTATATCTTCTTAACACTGAAATGCTTTAATTTGGCACCACTGTGCATGTAATTCGGTGCCATCTTGAATTTGCAGCCATATTGGATATCAACCTGATTTTCCTGACTGTAGCTACATTTTTAATATAACTGGTATTTAGTTCTTAGTCTTGACTGAATTCATATTTGATCATTCAGTATGACCAGACGTGCCTTTTGGGCCATACTTGGTTCTAAAACTTCAAAATGTGTTTTATAATGAGATAAATATTTGTGCCACATCATAAGTCACTTATCGCCGTGTGATTTAAAGACAAGCAAAACATTTCCTGACGTTGTCAACAAATATCTAGTGCTCATTTGACAATCAGTGTAAAACACCCTGTGATGCCCTGGCATGGATCATCAATTAAAACAACATTGAATTTTTTATTTACCTGCGTAAACAGATGCCACAGACAGGAAAGTCCACAGAGTTAAGAACATGACGTTGGATCTGCTTGCCGACATTGCGTCCTGCAGCATCTGGATGCAGCGTCTTTTTCAAATAACGAAACTTGCTAAAAACGTTACCTTTTTATATCATTTCCTCTAATTGGTTTGTTTTCGACTTCATACAGATAATGATATACAGCCGCATACCAAGAAAAACGTTAGCATTATGCAAAAATCCAATGAAACCGAGGTGAGGCGACGCCTTTCGAAATATTTGTCACTTACATGTAAATTGCATATTAGGATCACCTCGTGCATCCTATTATATCATAAGACATCATGTTACTGTAACGTAACGTGTTGGTTTGTACATATCCTTATATCCAAATGTTTTATTTAGGTTTTCATAACAAACATTTAAAAACGCCAGCTTGTGTGTACATGTGCAAATTTCCCTCTTTTCAGTAAGAAAACACCGGCTTGGGAAGTAATAAAGAATAGCATTTGTAATTACAATTAAGATATATGGCAATCTATAGAAAAACGTTAGCAAGATGTGTTATTTAAAATTCTGTCCTTGCAAAGAAAATATGATTTGTATTTCCATAAATCAAGTTGTTTTTCAACTGAGATTATCAAAGCATAACTTATTCTCGACAAGGGTCCAATGAGTGACTCCAGAGTCGTTCCGCATACGTGAATTTATTTCCTGTTACTATGTTTATCTCAAGCTGAATAGCAGCTCCCCTTTTTTTGAAAACAAAACTGTAACCATTAAGAGAGGAGTAAGTCTTACAAAACAGGCCAGTGCTTTAATAAACATAAAATATTGTATCCAGTTTACTCTTTACTAGAGTTTTAATTGCCAAAAGTAAATAAATACATAAATTGATAATAATAATAATAAATAAAAAATAGCAAAATTTAAACAGTCTATAATGAACGGTTTTGAGGCTCATACATGCAGCTTTATAAACTGATAATGCGAATGCCAAGACCATAGATCCTCCCCATAGTAAGAAAGCGGCGTGTAATGGGTGCAGGCTATGCTCAATGAATACGTGATTTTCAAGCAAATGGGTAGCAGGGGCAAAGTTGTTGGTGCTAAATTTGACAGTAACTAAAGGAAAATTAACCAGTCACTCATAAAATTTTATATATTAACCGGTATACAATATTCACCCGTATTGCTTGTGCTTTACTTCGTTGTTAAGCGTCATAAAGCCCACTAGTTATGGCTGAAGTGAAATCGTAGACGCCTGCATGTGTTTCTTTTCATATCGCGAACGCAAATGCCGAGCAGTAGATGCATTAACGTACACAATGTATTTCATGGGACACTTTTTAGTCTACAAACTGTTCAACCAATTAATAACCGAACGAATCCAATTATCACGAAAGCCAGTGGCAGTCGAACGAGCCACTCGACTTTAATGCGTTATTGCAGCGACTTATCTCATTTCCACAGAGTTGCTATCAAATCAACAAAAATCAACATCCAAAACCGCAATTGCTAAGCATTCCGAGGATAATGTGTGCTAAAAGTCAGGGATTTTCCCCACAAAAGAGTAATCTGCTATTTGAAAAAATAAATATAAGAAATAACTCATTTTGCTTTGTGTATAGTTCATTCATCAATTTCTCTCTCTTTTTTAGTTTATTTTGTACCTGGAATTATTAGTGCAAAACTTTCAAAACCATTTCACAGAGAGGCAATTCTGCTGCTCCTGTTATTGCAGTATTGAAAGATGCATGTAATTGTCATCTCATATACTGTAGCTACAGCACTTATAGGCTGCAGTTGTGTAATGATAATACCAGGGTATATACTACAATTGTGCTAATTACATCCATGTACCATAAATAGGATCTCATTAAGTTCTATTTGATGCTTGTTTCTGTAACTTTATTTGTGGGCGTCAATTTAAACCCGTAGCCCAATTAAGTCGAGTACATTACGATGATTAAACGTTGAATCACAAGAATGAAACATTCTACAACAGTAAAATCTACTGAAGGTGAGTCTCAGTAGATACCATGCAATTTCTACGAATCCCATCCTGTGTACGATATACATTTTACCTCAGGGGAAGCGCTTTGCTAATGGCATAGCCAATCAGTACGTCAGCATTTGATGACAAAAGGCTGCATTGGCAGACCTTACTTAAAAGCTATTTTGCTTGTGAATCTCACTTTAAAACCCGCCCATGTTGCCGTTCGCTTCCCAATAGCGCTGTGATTGACGTCAACGGATTTCTTAGGCTATAAGGCGTGGTCTCTGGGACAATTTGCGTTATCTTTAAACATTATAGGTATGATTGAAGACATTGTTTCCAAAAGCTTAGATCAGTAAGATTATTTCAAATTTAATTATTTTGAAGCAGCGACTACGATAAAAACGACCATCGGAAATAGTCCAATATTCAACCATCTGTATCCTTTGTTCCCGTTTTTGATCATCGACTGATACTACACAACATTGGCGCAAACGGAGATTATTCGCCGACACTGCTGTATTACAGCTTCCTTTGAACTAGACAAAAATAAGGGATGCACTTTCTACATGTATTCCGCTTATTACTAGATGGTACTTTTTGAGCCATGGTTACTTTTGTCGAAGTGGTTGACGGTTTTTGCCTTTATCTTTCCTACATAGATAAAACATGCCGCTCACAATCATATCGGCAGTGGTGATTCGACTGATGTTTGTACTCCACACTTTCATCAGTGTTTGGCGTGTAACAGACGTACTTCAGGAGTCCCTCTACTGGCTGATGCTGGTGAGCTTGATAGCGTTGGTGGTGGAAGCACTTGTCACGGTCATAAAGCGAAAGGGGGAGGAATGGAAATGGTAAGTAGGTTACTGCTGGTACATGTATGTAAAAGTTATACATATTTTTGTAAAAATATCAGGTTAGATAACAATATGATACACGCAGCAAATCAAAGTTAAATTGAGATATGGACAGTGAATTTTATAAAGAGGTTTCTTTTAAGCTTTGAGTAAATATTGGATACACATATGTATACAAAGAGCAAGTATGAAATGAAATTAAGCTTGAGAATTTTCTTTCTTCAAAGCATAGTCAAAAATAGCTTATGATTAAACACACTTCAGTGTTCATTTCGTTAACATGGTTCTAGATCCAATTTGTCAAAGTATGTACACTTGAGCAATGTGAACATCCTTTTAGAAATACAGAAACTTTCACAATTTCCCATCATTAATTCCTTTTATGCCTCCTCATTAACCCAAGATAAAGTATAAGTAAAGGACAAACACAAATATAGTGTTCGAAATTTGGCCGTTGACGGCCGCTTTTATTGAAAGGTCGATCTAGTAAAATAATTACATAGTATCAGATAATGCTATTACATAGTATCAGATAATGTTGAGTAAATCAAAATTACGTTATTTTAAATAATAAATATCTGCACATAGTGCACATGTTTTCATTTGTGGTGTTGCAAAGAGGCCAACAATAATGTGTACGAGTGACAGTTTCAGATAAAGTGCAATAATTTGCTCAGAAATTACTAATAATCGAAACTGTTTGCACTTGCTCATCATTTGTTATCTCCCAAAAAACAGACGAACGCAAGAGCATTGTGTTTCGGATCTAATGATGCTTCAGTAAATATCGCGGCGACACAGGCACTTGGGGTAAAACGTTTCCTTTTACCTGCACTTTGAAATATGGAGAGAAGATGGTCAATACATTTGTAAATGTTGCAAAGAGTGGTCTTTCTATAGATATTTGCCTAACTTAATCATAAATAAGAATTCGCGAAAGATATTGAGATATTGCTACCAAACTTAATTCATTTCAGTTCATTTGATCCATTAAAACATTATTGAGACTTTCTATACCGTTATTGTCTTTTTATGGCGCCAAAGGTTCCGTACGTTTTTTTTTATGTCAATGGCTCTTTATGGGCCTTGACAATGTCTGGCTAAATTCGGGAGTTATTTCACTTGAAACAAATTTGATAAATTTCTCTTATACTGTAAAACTCGGTAAAGATTTCCATTTTTTTTTTTTTTTTTTTTTTTGCGTTTTCCATTCGAAAGTAACGTAGTCATGTTGCGTACTTAGAATTCAAGTTAAGAGTGAAAATTTATCTCGCATTAGACACAAAAAGTAGTCTCATACGGTATTATCAAAACTAACTGACGAGCCTTTTTAAATTTCATTCTTTTAATGGAATTCCTAACAAGAAAATGAGTGTGTTTTTTATTATTTAGAATAGAAATGTTTTATGATCGGGTAATGTTAATGGAGAGATCTAAGTGCATTACTAATTGAATGTGTAACATCAATGTAAGATTCATTAGACTGTAGTCCATAAATTGAAACACTTCCATTAACCGATTCCTTCTCGTAGTTCATCAAGGACAAAAAACATGTTTTTAAACTTATCATTTACTCTTGGGTATACAATATAGCGTGTTTGTTCAACAAACTCTAGCGCTTCGCTTACTCTTTTGAATTCTTACTGGCACTAACTGCATTTCTCATTTGTCTGGTTGCTTTTCAATCTTCATGCACTCATGCTTGACAGTAACTACATGCATATTATATTTATCTTTTTCAATTTCTCTTTGGACCTATAATCTCAAAACTTGCAAGAAAATAATATAATATATCATATAATAACGAGGAAGTGTAAAAATAGCTCTTTAGTGCTTTTTGATTTCCCTTTATATAAAAAGATAAACTGTAGAAGTATCAGCAAATTGTGTACGTGTCTTGGTTTTGTAGGTTCTGTCCCAGTTTCTTCTGCTATCTGAGCGCGGTAATCCCTGCTGTGTGGCTACTGGAGATAAACCGCCTGGACCGTCTCGATGAACTTGTCACGGGCAATACCACAGCGGCCGAACAACTCTCGAGTTTATACGGGGTAAGTGTATTGTAGCTGTAGGGCTCAATTGCACAAACAGCTAATCCTATTGAATAGTGCACGCCATATCAAGTGATGTAACCTGTTGGACAACTTAAATTTATAGCATGTAACTTATATGCATGGTATTCAACCAAACCACTGATATATCATTAAAGAGAAACGGTGCCCCTTTTACCTGTGTTGGTTGATTGTTTATTATTGCGTAATCACGGGTTGGTTAGTTGCTTTTTTCTGCTGGTTGGTTACATTTCTTATACGGAAATATGTCTTTTACCCTTTTCAAAGTGTGTGTGTGGGGGGGGGGGGGTGCACTTTCTTCCTTTGACAACTACGTTACGTGTCTCTGTTGTACTTTAATGCTGTTCTTTAATGATAATGAATTTGTTTGATTCGGTGACATTTAGGTGGAAGTCCCGATCGTTCTGTCTGCCAACCAGTGGGTTCTTGCCATCGAGCAGTCGCTGCTGTTCCTTCTTATCATCGCTAGATGGCTCTTACCTAAGGGCGAAATCACGAGGGAACAACTGTCACAATTACTCTTTGCCTACATTGGCATGGCGTCGGACATTATGGAACTTTTGTATTTGTTTGATGAAGACAAAGTTGTGCGTGATCTTGTTTTGCGGTATGCCATTCTTGGAGTATGGTCTTTAAGTTTGTTCCAGTTCTGTCTGGTATATACGGCGACGAAAACGCGAAAGCCGAGACCTATTTTTATTCCAATACGAAGGAGCATGCGGCACAGCTCACGCAGTCAGCAAGGCGGGTCCCAGCGTTCCCGCCCAAGTCAGGCATCCACAGACGACAACCCCACCATTATCACAATCGGTGACAACACCAGTGAAGTTGATCCTGACGATGGGTGCTGCTCATGCGAGACGGAAATATGGGCAATTGGTCTGATAGTACTGCTGCAAGATGGTCCTTTCCTGACGGTCAGGCTATTCAGTATCATAAAATACAGCATCTTCAACTACAACATCATATTTTTCACAACAAAGAATGTTCTGGTACTGCTCCTGCAGTTTTACCGTTTAGCTGTTGTACTGATTGAGACGAAAAAGGCTCAGAAGGAGGAGGAAAAAAGGACAGAAGAGGTCACTCACGAGTTAATACAGAAGTTACACGGAAAGAAAAAGAAACGAAAAGACAAGGAAAATCAGGCAGAAAAAGATACTTCCGTTACGGAGAATACCCCTTTTACGGTATCAGAAACACTTCATGTTCCCGATCCTTGAGAGCTGCTTTATGGATTTGATTGCTATGAAATTGAAAAAAGGACCTGAACTGAAAAAGAGAACTCAAACACAAGTAGTCTGGTACGCACAAGAGATCTCTTTTTTTTTTTTTTTTTTGGGGGGGGGGGGGCGCACAAAACAGACAGTTTGTTACGAATAGTATAGTTTGAATATTGCAATATCAATAAGAAATTTCTTTTCTTTCATTTTATTTCACAAAAGGCTAATTCCAATAACCATTCTGTATGCCAATCTCAAATACGAAAATCAGTTTACTTTGCTGATAAGCTATTGCAAAAACTTAGGCCAGACAACAATCAGCAGTATTATGAATGTGTGTCTGTTATTTAATGACACAACTGGTGCAGTACGTGATTTTGGAACCGACCCAGCTAGTACGATGTGTGAATCTGAATGACGTATCATTCACAAGCTGTGGCATTATATCATGGAGTGGATCGCGTTATTGCTTTTATTGAAACTGATAATAGGTGCCATTCAACGGTGGGTGCAGGTTTAAAGGATTCGGGGTTAAACTGAGAAATAGTGGAAAGCGGATTTCTCACAGGTCTAAGTTGATAGTGATGGTTACAGTTAATATTTTTTAACTCACAATAAGTTTACATCTGGTGGTCTGTCAATTTAAGCAGTGAAGACTGACAATAAGTGTGGTTTTTGTTTTATTACTATTTATGTCTAACTACATGTATATTTATGACATAAGAAAATTGGAAAATGTAATATAAGTTTAATTAAAATACGTATCAGAGATACATGTAGGTCATTGTTTTTCTTTGTCTCGTTTACTTTGTTTATAATAGAAGGGGTACAGCCGACACCAGGAGAGAGGCATGTGGCTCACTGTGTCCCCCTGGCTCCGCCATGGATTTTGGTTTTTATTTTGCCTGCTGGTGGGGAGGGGGGGGGCACAGCCGCCACTTGCCGCCCACTAGTTTTTAAGTACATGTACCTCCTTCCCCTTTTCGTCCTCGCAAATCAACAGAGTGAACAAAAGGAAACGAAACAAAAAAGCAGTATCTATACATGTAGCCTGCATATTATGGTAAAAGATACTGTTTAATATTTGTCGCACTTCGCTTAAGCATTTTGTACCCTTGTACCCAAATGCAAACTCCTCCTAAGTAAAATCCTGGATCCGCCAGTGTAAAGGGTGTAATTCAAAAATGGTGAATACATTTTCAAAAATGTCAGTGTTTTACAGCCAAGCCAGCAAGTTCAGAGTTTGATTAGTTGTGACATTTTTCTTTTTTGCTTCACTAAGAAAGCCAAAATGAACAATGGTGAACGTCTCTAACAATTGTTTGGTCCGTCGTCGTTAACAATGACGGCATCGCTGAGTTCGACTTCAGACGAACTAAAATACGGGCACGTGATCAGGTTACCTTGGCAACACAGCCCGCAGTTGGTTATGTTCACCACGTGGTCCCAGATGGCGACAGAGGACACAAAACCTTTGAATGCTTGTCTGTGGTCAAAACCACTTCCCACACTGTTCTGGTCCTGGCCTACTACCCATGCACCATCTGAAAATCAAGGTGAATGTATACTTAGACCTGCATACTTAGGTAGGCCTACTGATATATCTAATATGAAAATAAATTTAAGCTACTGCATGTTTCTCAGTAGAAGTAATCTGAGTAGTGTTTCGTAAAACAACTCAAGCCCTAGAATTAATCTAAACTGTTAGACCAGTATTTGATTTATTACAGTTAAAGATAAAACCCTAGTGGCCCGATTAAAGTATTTAAGTAGGTACTGGTCTGAGACATATGATATCCTTTTCCTTTTAAAGGGATGCAGTATTCCACTTAAATGAAGTACTCATTTTTTAATTGGATTAGTGGTGATTTCACTTGGCTCAAATAAGATTTTGACCTAAAAGTATAAACCGAATTTGAGGTTTAAGCGTTTTAGTGAAACAAGTCCCAGTATAGACCAGTGCAGTCCATGTCTTCCCTCTTTTAAGATAATTAAAATTGCTAAAAAGTATACTCTTACCAGATTCCAACACCTCTCCTACGTCGTACCCTGTCCCTTGGGACGCCAGGCTGCCATTAACATAGAAGTGCCAACTTCCGTCACTGCTTGCCCACGAAACGCACAGGTAGTGCCAGGCGTTGTCGGAGAAAGTGCTGTTGGACAGCGTTAGACGGCCAAAGAGATGTGAGTGAGAGTTAATACGTATCACTAGCTCTTCGTCTTCAAACAGAAGCACAAAGGCCTTGGTGTACGTTGTAGTCGCATATGAAAGGAGCGTGGTTTTCGTAGCATTGAGAATTGGATTGTATTTTATCCACAGACAGGCCGTCAGTGCTCCCAGACTAGGGGTGCATCGTTTTGGAACCAAACGGATCCACTTTGAAGCTGATCGATGGGTAAATTCTACAGCTGAAAAATGAATGAATGAATGTATTAATTGTTGTAGTGACATTCATTTACTTAGGGCAACATCTTCAAATAGATATCGATGATTTAATACTGACCACAAACTGTCGCCAAACGCTAAATAGCCCTGTTACCCTTTCTATAATCATACTGTCCTATGTAACATTGTTAGTTGAGCAAGGAAACAACATTGTATCAGCTCAAGCGTAACCGATTAATGTCCGTAAATAAATCACCTGAGAGATCAATGGTAGTATAGGTGACATTAACGGGTATCATCTAGCTGTGGCAACAGAGGATTCCATACATTTGATGTTATTCATAATTTTGTTATTACAACATCATAAACCATCCAATTAACTGATAAATATCTCTGCAGCAATGAAAATATTTACTCATTTAAATGCTTGGTTTAAGACTTTGGTATGCACAAGAATTACGCTTTGTTTTCTTTTCTCTATATTCAAACCTTCAAAAGGATCAAATGAGAGCATAAATAGTAGTCTTTTTCAATCGATGCGGAATGGGATGTTACATATTACTTATTTTCATCATCCATTTCTCCGTTCAAAATCATGTCGCTATAATTTTGACATAAAAATAAATCCAACGAAATTCTAGTACGGGACAAGCGGTAAACCGAATGGCGACACTGATAGTAGTCGATAAATATATATTTTTTTTATTTTTTCACGTTTTTAATATCTTTAGTACTTCATTTGCAACAAATTGTGCAAAAAGATAAACCATTTTATTAATAACAAACACTGGATACGTGTGCCATGAGACTTTGGCATACGACGTGAAGATCAAAACGCCACAATTTTATAACATTGATTCCGGCTTTTAAAAATTCTTGAAAAGGTCCAAAAAAACTGATTAGGGAACATACCTGTGTTACTGCTGGCAGCTGAAAGAGGTTCGCATTGCAGAGGCTTCTCCTAAAAAAACACAGCTTCATCGTTTATATTCATAGACAAATGCGCAAAGGAAGTTTTTAAACATTTGCCCTTTCGTTCTATTGTTCAGGTTCGAATCGTGAATATGTATTCGTTTGGTAATGACACCACCTAGCCTTCCCACTACTTATATTACCTCTGTTAGTTAACAGTAAGGTCTCGCTCTGTGGAGGTTCATATAGCACAATAGCATGCATCGTATACATTTTGATTGGTCATTTTGTAACGGAAAAAGCGTTAAGATAATCATCAAATATGTTTCGTTTCTGAGAGAGACCTCGTAAGTTGTAGTTGTCTTTGATGTAACACTCTAGTTTTAAGTATTTGACGAACTTGATTGTGCAACAAAATGGCACAGGTACATGAATACAGTGAATATGTTTTTTTTTATATTCGTCAAACTTCATACCTGAACCGGCGTAATGAGTTCGTCCCCACTTTCACCTGGTAAAGCGTCCTTCACGCTGGAAATGCATGACAGAAGTTGGCACGTGTTATTTCCAAAATGATTAGCGCTTAAGCAACTTGGTTCTTGCTGACATGAGATTGCGCAACTAATAGTGTCTTCTGATTCCGTTGTTTGGATTCCACTCGCAGCAGCTCTAATATAATAACCTTTGTGAACTGACCACAAATTTTCTTTTGTTTTAACTTCGCACAATATCATAGACGACGCTGTAAGAATCGTAAGAGACCGCAAAAAGTTTCGTATGCTTGCCGTCATCCTAGGTTCTTGGAAGGACTAAAGAGGTAAATGGCAGTAGCTAATACTTATCTGTTTGGTAACAATAATAATAATAGAATCAGTTACGGTTGAAAAGAGAATCATAGGAATCTAGGCAATGAAAGCGTTAGTCTAATTCCTATTGTCAACCCTCTGTTTTCACGATGTACTGGTATAAAGGTCATTCTTGCCCGTATGGAAATGCACTAAGGAGATTTTAATAATGGGCCAATTTCTAAATTTTCTCTGGTATTTAAAGTCATAGGAGGTGATAATTAGGTATCAAAGTAAGGTAAATATTGTTATTAATTGATTGGACTTTACTTGACTACTAACACACGCCATGTTTATAACATTTCTCGTACACTTGCTCTTATAAATACGATACGAATGACGATACGTAGTACTTTATCTCGTTCGGACCGAACGTAATTCAAAATTTCATGTAGAAAAGCATTTGGATATTGCCTTTTGAGTGTAGAAAAAGATTTAATTGACACCGTGCAATTGAAAAAGCAATGCGACTATTTAGGACCAATAAATTACCACTTTTAACTTCAATCGATATCCCGTTGTCCTCTATGCATTTCTCTAACGTACGTTATTTACGCATGAGAACAGAGTTGCATCATTTTCAGGAACCATTAATTGCTCATCGATTATTCTACTGGTCATGATGTTGTTGCTAACTTATCATTATCTCATACAAGCGTAATAGTCGATAACACATTCAAAGCAAAGCAAGAAACTAAGATATCGGACAAGAATCATCCAGTACTTTCAGTTGTAATTACCCAACATCCTCCCACCTGACTGTTGTCTGGGCCACAAATTTACTGTTAAACATGCTATTCATAAAACGATTTTGTGCTTGTGTTACCGGATATTAACCAAATAAAAAGGACAGTATATTGGGTCTGTTCTGTGACTATATTTAAGGCATATAAGTTAAACTTTGAGTAATAAAAGTTTTGCCTCTTCCAAAAATCTCGTTTCTTACTGGAGGTAAATGCATGTAAGCCTACTAAAAGCAAGTGAAGATAACTGTTTTTTTTTTTTGTACATTTTAAAGCGTATTTTCGAGAGTGTTAATGCTAGAAACTAGTCATTTTAGGGCAATAAGTAAAATAGGGTATAGCAAGAAATTTGCATGGTACCACCCGGCTTCTGCCACGCAGGACATAAATGCAAATTGATGAATCCACAAAAATTCATTAGTTCATTTCCTTTCTTTTGGCCCACAATCGCATCTTTTAACCATTGTTAAAATTAAATAAGCGGCTCCAATATTCTGTACTTCCGAAAAATAAAAAAATTGAAAATATCCCCAAAAGTTCCTACAAGAAAAATTATGAAGGCAAGTTTGCTTTTAATATAAGCAGGCTTTCATTGAAATCAGAATTTCCATTAAACCATTTACGTGCTATTTACATTCGCTTTTTTTCGTGCTATTTACATTCACTTTTTTCCCCCACTGTCGACGTGCCGTTGCCGGCGTACAGTTAGTAGACCGACGTTACACGCAGTTTTGGAAACCCAAAAGTGAACACGAGTTTAGTTTTCGCTCCATTCCATACACACGGAAACCTGCACTCGAGCAATAAATATATTTACACGTGTTAAATTGTACTATAACGTATAACAGACATTGTTTTGGGAGAAAGTTATTATTATAATTACTGACGACATCTTCACATCTATGAGATTGTAAGTAAGATCAAAGATCAAATGCCTCTTTTTCTAGTTTATATAATCCTGCAGTGAACACAGACTTGGTGCGATAACATGGCAGGTATAATGTGATCCAAAAAGGCTTTGCACTACACATTCATTCTCACCATTCATTTCCCATGAAAATAACAGAGATGCAAAAAGTCACAATAAATATATCAATCACATAACTTATCTTAACGCACCCAACAAACTAAATCCATAACAGTACTAGTCTCACATAAGCTATTCTTCAAGTAGCTTAAAAGTTAATGAATAACAAAATTAAATATATTAAATAACATGAGATAAACAAGAATACTATTGCACATAAAACATTGGCAAAATAAGCAAACTTTAAAAGTATGATAACAAAAGATCTGTACTTAATTGGAATTCTTAATTTCAAAAACAGATTCTTTTTACCAGCAAATCTTAAATATATTGTAAGTTATAATACATAGTCATATATTTTCTAATATTTAACCATATTATGGTCTGGAATAAATTCCATGGATAAACACATTAACAGTTGTTACACTCTAACACAAAAATTACAATGAAAATTATAAAACTAAAAATGTTTGAAAGATGTCATTACAAACAAAAATCATAAATACAGTCGCATTAACAATTAACATCAAATGCAATTGCTCACTGCCAAAGCTAACAAGTTCAAGTCCATCCACTATAAGGGATAGAAAAATAACTGCCTCACATTGCAACCTAGGGGAATATCACAATTAATTCCCTTCACTGACAACAAAAAAATATTGAACCCTTTCAACTTTCCCCTCCTGGAACTGAATGGTCCTAAAACTGCATGTAAATGATTATTCTGGGGCAAATATATCTCCTGTGTCCCTGTGTCTGGTGGTATGGCTGTTCTCAGTGGCACCATAGGAGTTGCCCAGAGTAGTGGCTGCTGCCTGGTTGTCATTGTGACTATTTGGATTCAAGGCATCAGGAGATGATGGTGGTTGCTTTCTGTCATCTCTAAGCACAGAGGGGATGAAGGGCTATAAAAAGGAAATAGGTACAATAAAAAGTGAAATATCAATCAATTTAGTACATCTACAATACCAAAAGAGTAGAGCAATGAAAGTTTAAAGACCTGTTTTTTTATCATGGTAACCCTTATCTTGTGTGTGTCTAGATATGCTAGTTGTGCCAGCTAGTAATCTGGTACATCTGTAGTAAGACTGCATTGTGATGTGACTTACCTGGTCTGAAGTTGTGCTGATACGACCGGTGCCACTTTCACCATCTAGTGTCTGAAGAATATAAAAACATTTTACAATACATCATATCATACACCAAACATTTTAAAAGATCACACATTTACTAATCAATATCTAAATATTGTGACAGGAGAGTAAATATGTAATTATCACAACACTAACCCTATAGTATACTGGGGTGAACTGTTTGAACCATCCAAAGCTCAGTCTCCCAATGAACATCAACATGATGATGAACAGAGTAATGGCAGAGAAACCACTGATTCCCTGTCTGGCATCTGAAACAGTAAACAAAAATAAACTTGTTTTACAAACTATTGATAAAAATGATGACATAATTGAACTCCAACGTGTCTAGTAGGGAGATTTATGTACTGTGATACTATGATATTTGTGTGATATGTGTACACGTTTTGTGTATCAATTGCACCTTGGCAACAAATTCAAATACCTTTTTTGCCGTTTCACTAGCACAATGTGTTAAAAAAAAACACCTCTTCAAATTGGTAGAAACAGTCAACCAAGGATGAGACTGCCATTTTGTAAAAAAGTCCAGAAAAAGGGCGTGGGATACAGTGGGCTCCATAGGCCAATGATATTTTTGGCTCCCAAAAAGTTGATATAAGCTGATAGTCTCATCCTTGAATGAACTTGGGAATTTCAAATGACAATTAAATACTTTACCTGTCCTGATAACTGTAAAGAAAAGAATATTGCACTGCAGCAGGACAACAGCTATCAGGACAAAGTTAATGGCACTGGTGTGGATATTCTTGTTGATCTTTGAAGGAGCATAAGCAAAGTAAATGTTGTAGCGATCCACAGCATATTTCAAAACAAGGTAAAGCAAACCTGAAAAAACAAGGAAAGTTTGTAATTAATTAATTGATATACAGAGAGGAAATAAGTTATATGCTACATGTATGTCTTCACATGGCTATATTAAAATTGATTATTCAATTTCTTAAACAATTCATGAAATTTGAAGGAAATCTGAAAAATGAAGCCTATATACAGGAGTAGTGTAAAGAACAAAATATCAATATGTGCCTTGTTGAATTTGACGTGTTTTTGAAATGCAGATTTTGTAAATAATCCATGTTACTAACACATGCTTTTTTTTCAAACAGACTTAATTTATAAGATCATGTAATAGCTTTCCTTTAATCCATCTCTACAAAATAATATAATATAGTTCACTTCCAACAGTCACCTCCAAGGAAGGGATATATGGAACTCACCAAAAGGGACAATAAGGGGACATGGAATGCTGTAAGTCATTGTGACAGCAAATATAGTCAACATCCAGGCATAGTTCTGGCCAAACTGGAACTCCCACAGCACTGACTGGAAAATACAATAAAATTATTTAAGAACAAAAGAAAGTCATTTGGAATCTTCATGTGTGAAAATTGTAAACACTGAAAATCCTGAAAATGTAGCTTGCATTTAGACCATATGAAAAAAATCAATCAAAATGAATACTGAAAATCCCGAGATCAGGCATAGTCCTGTAATCTTT